TTACATTAAAAGATATTTTATATGTTGAGAAATATAAATAAAACAGATTAAAAATCTTAACTTGTCTATTTACAGGAGTATGACAATTTCTGAACAAAAGCTTGATCAAACAAGCAGAGGAAAAATCCTTATGTTGCTTGTGGTAAATATCTTAAAATGTGACATGATCCCACAAAATCATTTTCAAGATCTACATTTATTTTTCTTTACCGTAGTTAGTTACCAGGGATAAAAGTTTAAAAAAATAATGACATGAAGGACAGAAATTAAACAAAATTAGGTAAACATGAGAAGGGAAACTTGGCCTACACAGAACACTAAGTTCATTTTTAATTTGTTTTCCCATGTTTTTTAATACAAATTTCATGATTGTGTTGTAGATGGTTTATTTGTTGAAAGGAAGAAAAGAATGTGAGATGCTTAACAATGGCCAATGTTTTTGAGGGTTTGTGCTTCAAAGTGTCTAATGGTCTCTGTTAATGGCTTTCCCAGCACATTTGGCAAACTACTATTCCAAAGACAACTGCAATAATTCTAAGGGCTTTGGTATACTGAGGTCCTTGAAGCTAGATCATTCAGTATTTGACTTCTTGTGTAAGCTCCATTTTCAACACTATTGCCATATTAAAAAGGTCCAGTCATAACAAGGGTAGGAATTGAGAGGGTTTGGTCTTAAACTTGAGCGCCTGGTCTGCTCAGAAGTAACATACTAATGAAAGATCAACGTGGAGAAATAGTGTCCCTTTTACAACAAGTAATTCTCCAAAATATAGAAGAGTGATTATCAGAAAGTGTAACCCTTTTCAAGCATAGAAAGATGCAAGAACAACAAGTCTGCTGCAGTAAGTCTGCAAGGACCAATAATTAGCTCTAAATGTAAGAAAAATGTGAGCTTTTGGTGACTAACTTGGCAAGCTTGTAGACAGAACTGAAAAAAATGGCAGCTCTCTCTTCCTTTGTACACCAAAAGAAAGGCTCTTTCACAAATATACCGGTAGGAAGACTTATCTATGCCGGGAATACAGAAAAGGCAAGTAGTCAACTCTTTTGTCATTGTTGTTCAACCCAGAGTTTCAATACCTAATTTAGAGGATTTGGGGCTTGAGAGATTCTGGGGATTATTTTCTGGGGCTAATGATGAATGGTTCATATTTTTACATAGCTATCCTTAAACAACCAATGTTGGGCATTACATTCACTCATGCTACAACTCTGCCTGCAGTAGCATTACAAAATTATAATTGGCTGGTATCAGAGTGATTAGTCATAATTCCAACAGTCATGACTGCAACAGAACCTAATTTGGGCCATAAGCAAGCACTTGATTGGAATAATCTGTATCAGTTCATTTTATTAAAACCCAAGGAATGCAAAATAGCACTGTATTCATCGTATGAAAGATTTTCCTTCCTATGCCTTTTAAACAATTCAGTAGACTTGCTTAGGTGAATTTCCACACTCAAGGTAATTTAGGGATTAATTAGACAGTACTTGCAAAACCTACTGAAAACGGAAATCACTTCTGCATATAAATGATATGTATTACCATAACACAGTCTTAAATCCTAAAGAAGACATATTTCAGCACAAAATTAAGCATGGCTAATCATAAGTGAATTAAGAGAGCCAATGAATTCCACAATTCTTTATTTCACTGAAAAGACTAATCAGATTTACTTTACATTCTTAGGACTCCTTATTTGGTTATGTAGGACTCTTTATTTGGTTATCCAACCACTAACTGCCAACATGTCTGATAAATATAATAAATTCCTAGAGATATGAGTAGTTAAGAAGTCCCCAAAGTGTAAAATATTACTTTTATAATTACAAAAGCACATTTGACTCATTCACTTCAGAAAAAAAAATACCTTAACCCTGCTTCCATATTGAAATATTAACCATGCAGTAACATTTTAAAAGAATCCATGAGATGGTTTTCTCAAACAAAAGTACAGAACAATTTTTGCTGTCACTGAATTCTCTGATGATTCATTGTTATTGCTTTTTTTTTTTTTTAAAGTACATAGTAAAGGGTTACTAAAAAGGTATTTAAGCTATAAACAAACAACCAAAAAAGCTTGATTTTTTTTTAAACCTAACAAAGTTTTTTGGTTTTTCCTGCTACCCTGAAGAATAACTCACTGCATGTTTCCAGACAAGGTTGGTTGCAGTATTTTACTCAGAGGCTGGCGTATCTGATGTTATTTCTCCTCAGAGTACTGTGATCTCATTGACCAAAATACGGCAACTAACCACATGAGGCAACAGGAAGACTTGTATGAAGTATATTCATGCCATGGTTCCCTGGTATTAAAGAATGTCTTTACATAACTTGAATATAAACACTGTATGAGAAATAATATGCTAAATATAAATATTGCTTAGAATCACAGTATTCAATTAAATTCCTAGTTTTTTGTGCCAAAACATAGAAACTCATAAACTTAAATCTTCTTTTCCAGATGGCATATCAGATCTTCCCAGCTACTGTTGACTGGTAAAATAGTTTGCAAAAATCAATATGGCACATGAGTATATTTCTTTACCCAACTATACATTAAGAAATTATTCCTTAAAAGGGACTATATCATCCATGCGAAACTCTCCTTTAGCTCACACTAAGGCATTGACATGGTGAAAATTATATCTAGAAAACATGCAAAACTTTCATTCAATACTATAAAATTGTTGCATTTCACAATTTGTTTATATTTTCAGAAATAAAAAGGAGGAAACATAAGTACAGCAATTAACAATAGCTCACTGGGTTTTTCAAAATATAAGTTCACACAGAAAAAGCCAGATATTTTATACACATCTAGCACAAAACAGAAATGAAAAATGCTGATACGCAACATGTTCAGTGGCCCATCCAAGGTGGGACAGTCCAAAGAAAATTCCCATTTGAGAACTTCTACTGCAAAGTGGTCACCAAAGAAGTAAGGAAAAAAAACCGCAGTAATTCTCCTCCAGAAGTGAAATGAGGTAGGTATGGAGAAATGGGACATCACCAGTGGCCATGCTTAACTTTTCTCAGGAATGGAAACTTTTGAAACTTTTTTCTGGATAGGTTCCTTTTAGATGAAATTAGTGTAAGTTGTATTGATGGAGACAGACATTTCTACAGATAGTCCAATTTCAATATTAGCTAGAACACTAGCAACAGTTACTAGGAAAATTACTAAAAAGCTTTCTTATTATGAGTTGTTGCAAACAGGTATGATGACTAGAATTACTTTACACTTTTCTGCAGCCGACAACATAGACTGCCTTCAAGCAGAGGGTCCTAAAAGCATCATCAGGTCCCCTACAGAGGGGTGCTCTCTCAGACTTGGAACTTGGTAGGCTTACCTTACACGTGAGGAGAATGGTCTACAAGTCCCATAGAAGCTAATTTAAAAGAAAAAGTTTTGCATAACATTAAGATTCCAAATTTTGCAGCAGACCTGGAATCTGGCACAGATAGCTCTCCTGGAGCTGCAGATCCTGACACCACCAGAAAGAAACATACATTGCAAGTAAGTTTTGGGTATTTGCTGAAAACAAACAAACAAACCTGCCTACCCTTCCTAACAAAGTATTGCAGGCTTCTTGACCAGCAGGTCCTAGACTCAAGCTTTCAGCTTATTACCTGAATCACAAGACCCAACCTCAATCCTATCCTTTTTGCCTTGCCAGTTCTACTCCAACCCTAACTAATGCTGGGGAATTTTTATCATACCCCTTAAGGCAAATTAAACATGTTTGTGCTTAAATGTAAAAAGATTTAATGAACAATGGATTGAACAGTCCTACCTCCACAAGCAGCTCTACAAGGAGTCTGCAAGGATGCAACATGAGACAATTCCTTATATACACCTGCACCAGCACTGACCATGTGAGCATCGGCATGGGGCACCCTAGCCCAGTGTTCAGTTCATCCCCCAGTGTCAGCTCTGTTTACCAACAATGGCCCCTGAGCACTCACATTCCAGGATGGATTGCTACAAGACAATGCTGTAACATTTCTTATCACATTATCAAGGGAAACCTCACTCCCTTACATGGAGTCCCTCTCTCTCTGGCATTCCAACTCTGCAATTGGGCCTTCTTGCCCTCCATGTCAGACCATTCCTTGGTCATGAATTACTGTTGCTGAGCAGCTACAATTTTAATTTCCCCTTCACTAACTACATGGTCAGATTTGTGTTTCCAGCTCACAGTTGCCTACCAGGTCTCATGTCTCCCTTCTCATCCTCAAAACCAGCCTTCTTTTCCATTTCCCATTATCAGGTTTTTTTCCCCTCTCAGATCTTCTTTACCTCTTTAATTAGAATTAGAAGCCAATTAGAAGCTACCTCTTTAATTAGAAAATAATTAGAAGTTAATTAGAATTCTTAGCTTTACCTACTCCTTCTCCTAACTTGATTCAGTTTTTGTCCTCTCTGCATTTCTTACTAGAAAGTTTCCATAACAGTACAAAAGACACAGATTTATCCTCCATGGTAACATCCAGCTCTTTCATCTTACCAGCTGAGAGAAACTAGGAACAACATGAGAGAAGAATTACAGATTCAGCTTTATTTCATCCTTAACTCCTTCTCTTAGTGCTGTGTAGATAAAAACCTGCTGAATTGCTCTGTGAGGATGCTTTCCTGCAAATCCAGTTTGTCGAGACTGAGGAGGTCCAAAATGTGGATGTGTGATAAATAATCAAACCCGAAGTTTACCACAATTGACTGAGCATTTTTGTTTTGTTCTCGTTTTAAGTTTCATTACTAAAAATGGCTAACCTACTTTATCTGAAGTTTCCCAAAGTGCAGAGTGAGAAAACATGTCATGCAAAATTTCAGGCCAAATAGTCTAAATTGGAAGCAACAGAAAAGACAGTCTTAAAGTGAGAGAGGTTGAGCAACCAGAACAAGCAGTACTAGAGACGACTGCCTGCAGTGCATACTTATTATATACTATTACAATAATATTATTGGGAAATTGTGTTATCTTGGCAACTCATTTACCTTGAATTCTTCAACAATAATACTCAAGGCTTCATGTCCAGCTTTTTTCATGTCTTCTAACTCCTGCTTATGCTTTTCCTGTATAAAAACATGGAAAGATTATATACAACATAGGCATTTGACATAACAATTTTAATTAGGAGAGTGAAGACCAATTATTTTCTGCATTTTTGGTATCTTTCATGAAGAAATGCACACAACTTGGCTCTTTAGATATTATATATATACACACTCAATTCAAGTTGGTCCTAGTATTAAACTTATTTTTCTTTATTTCTTAATTTTACTTTATCAGTCCCCAGATAATTCTAAATGGTTCTCCACATTTTTAAAAAACTTTCTTTGTTACTCTGATTTTTCGGTTTCTTGGTATACCTGTGGATGGCAGGACTTCCAAATCACTCTCTTAGTAAGTGTTACTTACGGCCTATACTAATAAAAATGTTGAAATGGACTAGTATCAGGTTCAGCTTCCTCAGAAGAGCACACCCTTGTCCTACAAATTATATAGCTCCTTTTTTATCTTTTTTTAATCTTAAGGCTCCCAGGAAAGTGTTCTTGCATAAGACGTCCTGAATATGTTTTTCAAATAAAGCTCTACTGTTTACTTTTTATTTTATTCACAGTATTATTTAAAAATAATGTGGACAGGAACATTCTAATATTTTTGCCTCTACATAATAATGCTTGCCTGTGGTTTGCTATCTGAGTCTGCAATGTGAACACCTGATTAGATTCTCATCAGCATTTCACACTTATCAATGAGCAGCACCACTTTTTCATTGAAAAAGAAATTAGTAAGAAGATGAAAGACTTTCCCTCCTCCCTCATTCTCTGCCTCAGGGATCTGTTTTTAAATCAGCTAGTACAGCAAGTCATAGGTACTTTAAATCACCATGGAAAACTGGTGCAGAAAGCAGTAAGACATTCATCACAAACCTTACCGTGCAGTGATTACAGGGCAAAACCATACACAACTTACACTACATATTTACTGCTTTTTGGATGGAATTTAAGTTGAAATTAATTAATACAATTCTATGTTTTCTGAGATCTGTATGTTTGAAATAAGCAAAACCTAGTGTCTAACAAAGCATGTTTGATTTTATTATGAAAGGCCATATAATACCATTAAAAATAAATTAATTGGTCTGTAATTCTGTATTTGGTTAGAGGTTTCTGCTCTGCCATTCAGTTCCCTTCTGAAAGGGCCATCTTAGCAAAAAGTTTGAAATTATAGCTATACAAACTTCTTATCGTTGGCCCAAATATAATGGGACATTCAGATTCTCTTGAATAGAACTGGGTTTTTTGTGAAGCCCTACAAGAACAACTGATATGAAGAAGAAGAATTGAAGATGGAAATATTTTGAAGCGTAAATAAACTACTACATCAGATAACAATCCACAACATCTGGGTACATCAGTTTAATCACATTGTGATGCATACATATCATTGACACCCCAAACTAGCTAAACTCAGATGTCACATATATATTAAAAAAAAAAAGTGCTGAGCTAGAAATATTTTTACAGTACAAAACTACAGAATTGGCGTAAGGGGGAAAAATGTGATCCAGTGCTTAACTCCGAAACTTCACAAATCATTAACAAATAAAGTTCCCTGTGAAAAGTGAACATGGAGGGGGGGAGGGAAATGAGAAAAATGTAATTACTATAGTACCATATCCTGGATTCACAAGAAAAAAGAATTAAATAGAAAGAAGTAGTTAAAGGTCATTAATTATTCTAGCTGAAAAAACCCCAAAACAACAAAACTAAAACTGAAGAGAAAGCATTCTGTGTTGAGGAAATTCTTTAAACGAGAAGAGTTAAAACGGTAAGATTTCCATCTAAGATCTGTCAGAACTACCTTGAATGCAACAATAAGACATAGTGAATCAAGTGTGTTGACCAAGGAAGTAACATATTTCATTCTGGTAAAAAGTACAGTGCCTCTCACTAGCATTACCAAGCAAATCAACACACAAAGCAAAAAATGCAGTTTGTCCCCTTATAATAAATCTCTCAAGTTTTTCAGAATTAGTAACTTGTTCAAAGTCATATACTAAATGCGAATTGACAACACAAGTTGAAACATCAACACCAAGGTATAACTACCAACATGAAGATTCCATCCAACACATTTTAGAGTACTTACTTTCTTAAAATATTTCCTAAAATAAAGGTAAAGAGTCATTAATAAAGAACTAATGGTAAGGCATCAGTTTTGCTTGGGTCAGGACTAGCAATCAATTTCTACAATAGAGGTAGAAGAGAGAATGGAAGGGCATTATTACAAGCACACAGATGAAAAGTTTAAGGTCCCATTGCAATGCTCCCTCCAAGTGAGGGCTTCATCCAGTCTGATGAACACTACGCTGCCTTTTTTCTGTGTCTATTTGCAAGATTTTTCAGCTAAGACAGCAGACCTATAAGTTTATTTCTTTTAACTTGTAAGGGTGAATTTCAATTCTTTTGAAGATGGCTGTGTCATGGTTTAACCCCAGCCAGCAACTAAGCACCACACAGCCGCTCATTCACTCCCCCCACAATGGGATGGAGGAGAGAATCAGAAGGGTAAAAGTGAGAAAATTCGTGGGTTGAGATAAAGACAGTTTAATAGGGAAAGCAAAAGCCGCACGCGCAAGCAAAGCAAAACAAGGAATTCATTCGCTACTTCCCATCGGCAGGCAGGTGTTCAGCCATCTCCAGGAAAGCAGGGATCCATCACGCGTAACGGTTACTTGGGAAGACAAATGCCATCACTCCGAATGTCCCCCTTCCTTCTTCTTCCCCCAGCTTTATATAACGAGCATGACGTCATATGGTATAGTTGGGTTAGCTGTCCTGACTATGCTCCCTCCCAGCTTCTTGTGCACCTGGCCGAGCATGGGAAGCTGAAAAGTCCCTGACTAGCGTAAACACTACTCAGCAACAACAAAAACATTATTCTTATACTAAATCCAAAACATAGCACTATACCAACTACTAGGAACAAAATTAACTCTATCCCAGCCGAAACCAGGACAGGCCGGCCTTTTCTTCTAAAAGTCTGTAAAATACTGTTTCAAAATCTTATAGATCCACATCACTCAAAGGAATGTGTGCTTGGTCCTTGTCATATCTGATAAGGAGAAGACTCAAAGTCACTTTAAGTAACACATTTTGGAAGTGTATGCATTGATTTACTGTCTAACAATGAAGATACATCAAAAGTTCCTGAGTTTCATGATTTGCCTATGAACACAACAGAAACATTCTAAGAACAGTAGCATACTCATTTGATGAACAATGGTCATGTCAGTTCTCCACAAATCCTCAATAAAATGTGTACTTTCCACAGGAAAATCAGTTTTATGAATTGACATAACTACTCTTAGAATTATTACTCTGCTTGTAACAAAGAAAAAGGAAGCTCTATGAAAAGTTCTGAGTGATATAGACCTGAAATTAAATGTAATGTTCAGATTTCCTATCAAAGAATTTTGTGTTTTCTGGCTCTTATAGAATTCTCCTGCATGGTTTGCAGAACGTTGTTGTCTCCTTACTTCATTTAATAAATGCTTTTAAGAAAGGAATCAAACATGAGTTAAGAAGTTTGAAATTTAAGTAAAATTATCTTCGAGGACTTTCAATCCCTCCCCTTGTGCTCTGTGATGGACAGAATCTCACATCAGAACGCTGACAGTAATTAAATTTGGAAGACAGAGGGATTGACTTTGTAATCAAAATCTTGATGATCATTCCAGAGGGCACGAGGCATTCTGTGTGGACACAGTATGAAAGCAACAGGCAATTCATTGCTCAATGGTTATCAACGTTTCAATTTTTTCCGTTTTGTGACTCTTATATGAGGAAACATGTCATTGCGAACAATTTATGCATAAGAATACATGCTTTAATGCTACCAAATATATATGCCTTCAGAAAGTGGATGATAAGGATGAGAAAATGGGATCGAAATTCAAAAGTTTTCTTACAATCTAAAATCCAAGTGACTCCAAACTCTCCTTTTCTTTTGTTAGGCCCCTGTGAATCAAACCACTGTACAGGCAGATGGATCCAAATGCCTGGTGAGCTTCCGAGAGGTGCGGTTCCCAAGGACGTTGCTGGGCAGAGAAGCCTTCTGAAGTGGCTGTGACAGCAGGAAAAGTTACTGACCCCCTGCCATACAGCTGCCTGTCACTGCCTACCAATTGCATTAACATTTCTCTTAGATCTTTTAGCTGAATTGCTTCCTAAATCATTTCAGTCTAAATGAACCACTGTTAGCATAAACAGTTTAAACTGGGTTCTTCGTTAACATCCAACATTTCGACAGAAATGCAAGGCATGCGTTTGCGCATACTGGGAAGTGTAAGGGTAACACCTCTCAAAACAGAGTACTATATAAGATCCGCAATAAGAGGATTTGTGAGATCTGATGGGGGAAGAAGAAAGAGTAAAGACCTCAAACCTACTTTATTTCATTATATTTACTTACCCTTAAGTTGATATATTTTTCTGCTAACTTTTTAAGAGGCAGACTGTCTTGAATTGTTGGGGAAAAGTGCATGCCACCCACAGACTCTGCACAGATTCCGTACTAACCTTCCACTCTGGCATGCCTGCACATGTCACACATATTTAACAGCAATAAGTGAAAGCATATACAAGAAGGGAAGAAAAAAGTACTCACTGTCTCACTTCTCATTTAATTCAAAGCAACTGCAATTCTTCTCATTATCAAAAGCGGATGCTTAGAAAAATTATTTTGTGTCAGTGCTCCTAACACGCATCAAAAAAAGGAGACTTGATACTGCAAATTAGGGCCACCAAACACAGCCACCTGAAAAGGAGTCAAATGGCTACATATCAAAGTATCTTTTGATAATAATCAGCCCACAACAGTAAACACCATAATAATTTCACAATCCCAGTTCTATAGTAGGCATAACTAACACCAAAAAACCTCAAAGTTTTTGAAATAACTGAAGAAATTAATTTATGTCTTTTGAATTTATGACATTTTCTCCACAGATTTTTTTTCCCCACTGATTTTTCTCTTGTGATCAGACCAAAAGAAATTTAATTCT